GTTTTTAGTAGCTTTTATGTCAGTTTGATATGTTTGTTTTATCATGATTTTACCTTGTGGTGAACTTTTTATCTTGTTTTTAGAATTTTTGAGGAAATTCTGTTTGTTTTGTCTTGTTAAGCACTTTGGTCAGCTTTTATGCTGTTATAAAGTGCTATATAAATAAAGTTGACTTGACTTGACTTGACACATGAAAAGAGAGTTACAGTAGTCTAAGCGTGAGGAGATGAAGGTGTGGATAACTGTCTCAAGTTCAGAGCGGGACAGAATGGGACTCAGCTTAGCAATGTTCCTGAGATGGAAGAAGGAAGAGCGAACAAGAGAACTGACATGAGAATCCAGGGTGAGAGTTGGGTCAAAGGTCACACCAAAATTCCTGATAGAAGGTTTGGTGTGAGAAGCAAGCTGACCAAGAGAGTCTCTGACTTTGGGAACCAGCTTGTCTGGGGCACAGATGAGGATCTCAGTCTTATCTTCATTCAGCTGAAGAAAGCTCCCAGCCATCCAGGTTTTGATAGAGTCTAAGCAGGTGTGTAACAGCTGCAGCTTAGACATCTCATGGGGCTTGAAGGAGATGTACAGTTGGATGTCATCTGCATAAAGATGGTAGGAGATTCCTTTGAAGGAGCTCAGGATGTGCTGAAGAGGAAGCAGATAGAGGAGGAAGAGCAGAGGCCCCAGCACAGAACCTTGTGGGACACCATGGGTAAGAGAGGTGGTGGAGGACCTAAACTTGGAGACGGCCACAGAAAAGGAGCGCTCAGAGAGATAAGAGGAGAACCACTCCAGAGCAGATCCTGATAGTCCTACCCAGTCTCTCAGCCTCTCCAGTAGCAGGTGATAGTCAACACTGTCAAAGGCTGCAGTCAGGTCCAGCAGAACCAGAACAGAACAGTCCCTTGCATCACTGTGATTCAGAAGGTCATTAGAGACCCTAAGAAGAGCTGTTTCAGTAGAATGAGCTCTACGAAAACCTGACTGGAAGCTATCATAGATGTTATGTTCATCAAAAGCAGCTGTGAGTTGTTTAGCCACAACCTTTTCCAAGATCTTGGAGATGAACGGAAGTTTAGAGATGGGTCTGAAGCTGCTATGGAGAGAGGGGTTGAGACTCGGTTTTTTAAGAAGTGGGTGGATTACAGCATTCTTAAAGTATGCAGGGACCTGACCAGAAACCAGAGAAGCATTAATTATAGAGAGCACGCTGGAACCGATGGACAGAAAAGCACTTTTAAACAAAGATGAGGGTAAGATGTCGAGGGGGCATGCAGAGGTCTTCATAGAGTTAACTAGTTCAATTAACTCAGGCAAAGAAACAGGAGCAAAGCTATCTAGGATGATGGGCTTGGTTGGAGTCGGGAGAGGCAGCGATAAGGCTGAAGGAGAGATGCTAGATCTAACCTTATTGACTTTGTCCACAAAGAAAGACAGAAAGTTCTCACAGTCTGTAACAGAGTGGATGGAGGCTGTAGGAGAGGCAGGAGAGACGATGCTGCTGATGGTGTTTAACAGCACCTTGGGGTTCCCTTTGCTCTGGGACACCAGGTTGGAGAGATAGGAAACCCTTGCATCTCTGACTGCAGAGTTAAAGGATGTCAGAAGATCCTTTAGGTGCAGCAGATGGACGTGGAGATGGGTTTTCTTCCACAAACGCTCAATTTTTCTGCATTGGCGCTTCAGGCTGCGAAGGCTGTCATTAAACCAGGGAGTAGGGTTCACTGCAGGAACTGATCTGGTTCTGAAAGGACAGTTGTCCAGAATGGAGAGGCAGTGCTCGTTAAACTGAGAAGTTAAGGAATCTGGGTCGTTATCAGAAGAACAGGGTGGATCAAAAGCAGCAGAAAAATTGCTAGCTGTGCTCTCATTAAGAAAATGAGAATAACCAGACGGCGAGCAGGAGGTGGGGACACAGAAACTGACAAGTTAAAGAAAATGCAATGGTGATCTGAAATATAAACGTCCTCAGGACAAACACTGTCAGCATTTAGACTCAGGATAAAAACAAGGTCTAGAGTGTCCCCCCTGGTGTGTGTGGGGCCAGGAACATGCTGGGTAAAGCCGAAGGAGTCCATAAGGCTGGAGAAATTCATGGCAAAGTGATCAGAGGGATCGTCAACGTGGATGTTAAAATCACCAACAATCACCAGTCTGGACAGCTTCACAGTGGAGGATAGAAAGTCACTAAATTCCTGAAGGAAATAACTGTTTGGACCAGGTGGACGATTAACCACAGCACAGTAGAACGGGTCCTTACGCCCGACTTTAATCAGCTGCAGTTCAAAGGAAGCAAAGTGACCAGAGGTTGTAGAGCTACAAGGAAGATGGTCTCTGAAAACAACAGCTAGGCCTCCACCACGACCAGAACCCCGGGGCTGGCTAAGAAAAGAATAGCCACTCAGGCTGAGTTCAATCAGACCAGAAAAATCAGATGTTTGCTGCCAAACTTCAGTCAGAAACAGAAAATCCAGGCTCTCTCAGGCTCAAAATAAGTTTTGATAAAAGGATGAATGACTAAGTCCTTCAGGGGTACTTTTGAGTTTAAAAATACTCATGAAATATATATGTGGAGTAACCAGGTAGGTAGGTTTTAACGTTGCAAATCTGCAACGCCTGCCTCCAGAGGGTTAAAATCACCTAAAATAAGCAACCTATCATATTCTGGCAGCACTTGTGCTAAAAGCCCAGCAAACTCTGCCAGAAAGCCCTTGTTGAACCCGGGTGGACGGTACACCACCATGCACAGCACGGGGTCATTACGACCAAGTTAAAACAGATGACATTCGAAATGAATTAATTAGAATTAATTAAAAGGAGAGATCACAGGATGGGAGCCAGATCTTTTAGCTATCAGGCTCCTTTCTTGTGGAACCAGCTCCCAGCTTTAGTCCGTGAGGCAGACACCTTGGAAGTTTCTCAATGCCAAGGAACCTCACCTTGATGTCTTGTCCCCGCCCTGGTTGCCTAGGAGATATGTCATCAGGCGCCGCCATGACATGTTCCAATGTTCATGTTTTACCGGGCGTGTGTTCTCTGTTTGTTAGCCGTTTAGCTAGCCGAGCAAAGATACACGGGAGATGTCTTGTAGTAGCCTTTGTCAAAAATTACCCAGAGTACACAGCAGTATTTTCAAAAGGATAGTGAATCAGAAGCCAGCAGCTGGGGCAAATTTTAAGTTTAAAAGTAAGACAACTAATTTAAAATGTTTTTTTTTTAGATCCAAAGAAGTTATCTATGGTTGGTTAGTAGTTGCAGCTTCGGTGGCTAGTGAAGAGTAACTTACTTATATAATTAATTTAATAAATATATACACAATTTAAAAAGTAAAAGTCTCGTTATATATTTATATTTAAACTAATACGTATAAAATATAACATTATCTCCCATTGTCATGTGACATTATGTGACCGCCGTGGAAGCCACGGTCACGTGATGCAAGTCTGTTCCATTTAACAGTTTTCTTTGACCAAGGAAGGACAGTGTTCTCGTAAGCAAGGCGCCTGGCCTCGCAAGGTCAGCGCCTTGACATTGAGAAACACCCAAAGCCTCCGTTTGCCTGAGTTACTTGATTGGTTCATTTTCAGTGTCACTTTCTAAATAAAAGCTGCCAAACCTCACGGTGATTTGTTCGTTGTTTTAGTTTGGTCCATGTGTCTGTGTAAAGTTGTGATGTGAAGATATCTTATTGACAGAGTTCATCCACAATTTCAGAATCACACCTGTCAAGTCTCCCGTTTTGGGCTTGACACTGTTTTAAAAACTATATCGCTTATTCACTCTGTCTTCATTAATTAATATTCACTGAAAATGTCCCTTAAGTTCATTTACGGAGACCCCACCCCCACCCCTCCTCACGGAGATCGGAGAGACGTTTCGCTCCAGCAGCACCTCCCACTCATGTATTTTTTAACTCCAAAACTAGATGGGATGTCCAGACAGCAGGGGCGCCACCAGAAAATTTTGATAGGGGTGGCCAGATGGAGCCAAAGAAATGTTTGGGGTGGCACACCAAATTGGTCTTTGTGGCAACTCTGGGATCGTTTAGCCTGTGGGGATGTATTGCATTGCTCCCTAATTCATTTTTATTAAAAATAAAATCAGTACGTATCCAAAAAATTTTACTTCAATTTTACAAACACAAACATTTCAGAAAATAATTTTCAGTTATTTAAAATTTTACTCCAAATTAAAATCAAAAATATTTTTTAAGTTTATTCACCTGTGTTGTTGTATTCACAAAAACTATGGAGATAAAAAAATGTTAATGGTGAGCAGCAGAAACATATGTATTTTTTTTTATTCTGATTATTTCTTTGCTCATTAAGTGTATTATTTTTATTTTGTTTTACAATTATGTCTTGAAAAAACAAGATCAATTTATTGTTTGACTGTTAATATGATGAGTTGTGAATATCATTTGGGTGTTACCAATATAAAGTGAAAGAACAAACAGTGCCAACTTCTTTAAATTGAACAGATATTGTTCTACACGGTCTGAGTGACGTCAAGTGAAGTGACTCAGCATTCTGAGAATACACAAAGTATCAACTTGTTATGTTATTTGACAGATTAGGGCACAACCTCATGTTAGTTATGTCATGAAAACCTGACTTTTTATTTTTCTGGGTAATTCAGGGAAATTCCCTAGACTTATGATTGTTAGTTATCCATTTGGGTTAATCGATTAAATGTTTATTCTGAGAATTCTTTGCCAAATGCTCTTCACAAACAGGTGTGAAGGTGACACTATTAAATGTTTAGACAAAAATTTATTGTTTTAATCACCTTTAAACATACAATACTAGAAAAAACCCATCCAATGAATGTGAATGTCCCATTCTCAATAAAATAATTTTATATTTGTGTATCTGTGTTTCTTTGAAATTACATTCATACATGTTCTGGTAAGGATTACTGATCAAAATGCACATAGGAGATTTCTTATTTGTCACAGAAGAGCCCAGTTTACATTTTCTAATTAGAAAACCAATCAGAACAGAAAAGCTGCAGCTGTGAAACCTGCAGGTTGAGGGTTTTTAAACCTCACTTGTTGGTGTGGTTGTCATTTGGAAGCCAGAATCATGGGTGATGCTTGGGTCCTGCTTGTTTGTGTGGTGACTGTGTGGCTCAACAAAGGTAAATTGTTTTTCTTTGTGGTAACTGAGTAGAGATGAGTAGAGAGGATTTGAGAGCAGAGTGGAGTGATTTATGCAGAGCTGTGGTCTTCCAGTTGTAATCTGTCCTGAAGTTGTAAAATTTGGAGCTTTTACATGATTGACAAAACCAAATTGCCTTATTTTAGGATGTTGTTTACCAATTGAGGAACCAAATGACAGAGCTGAGCAACTTAAAAAGCAGGACGGTAAGTTTTATACTGACTTCCTTTTTAAGAATGATTTAAGCAACCAATACTAAAAGATCTCTTGCTTACAGCTGTGTCACCAAATGATTTTGCTCTCAAAGATGTTTCATTTCTCCAGTCAATGGATTCTACTCTAAAACAACATTCGATGAGTTGTAAGTACACTTGTTAACTTTATTTAAGGCTTTCATCCTATAGTGTAGTTTATTTAAAGATGAAGGTCTAATGTTAAAAATTGCATTGTAGTACACTTGGAAACCAATGAAGTTAAGCTGGTAAATGATGGCCAACCTGACCTGACCTCTGGCGACGCCCCCGGCAACCTGACCTCTGGCGACGCCCCCGGCAACCTGACCTCTGGCGACGCCCCCGGCAACCTGACCTCTGGCGACGCCCCCGGCAACCTGACCTCTGGCGACGCCCCCGGCAACCTGACCTCTGGCGACGCCCCCGGCAACCTGACCTCTGGCGACGCCCCCGGCAACCTGACCTCTGGCGACGCCCCCGGCAACCTGACCTCTGGCGACGCCCCCGGCAACCTGACCTCTGGCGACGCCCCCGGCAACCTGACCTCTGGCGACGCCCCCGGCAACCTGACCTCTGGCGACGCCCCCGGCAACCTGACCTCTGGCGACGCCCCCGGCAACCTTACCTTCGAATAGTTATAAAATAAACTTTTATTCTCTACCTTTTACTTGCTTAATTTTTTGACTAAATCTCATCACTGCACTGATCTGCCTCTCAAAGACTAGATTCCCATCTAGTACAACACCCAGGGAATTGGCACTCAGTTTAAAGAATGAGGCTAGTTGACAGAGGTGCCCTAAACACTTCACACACACACCCTAGACAACGTACAAAAATGACAGGACAGTCATTAAAAAGAATAAAGTTAAACTTCCAATGCCTAAGCTTAACGACTGCAAAGCATGATTGTGGCCCCACTTAAAAGACACATATACCTGGGTATAATCGGTGTAGCAGTGAAAATAACACCCATGTTTCTTAGAATCGGTAGCAAAACAATGGGTCCAATACAGAACCCATTAGAGGAAGTCAATTCCCTCTGAGTCACTGAAGGTTCTATCACAAATACAAAACAAACAAGCACATCCACACCAACAAAGTGTTCCATCCTAGAAATCAGGAGCGTCACCCACGGTATCAAACGCAGCCGATAAATCAAAACCAAAATGACAGTCTTTGGACTCAGATCCCAATATGTAATTAAAAACCCGGAGCATTGCTGATTCTGTATTGTGGACTGGCTTAAAACCAGACTGGACTTTTTCCAAAATGTCACATTTCATCAAATACTCAGTAAACTGAGTAAATTACCTTCTCCGGTACTTGGAAATGGAAGTCCTGAGATGGGTTGATAACTGGACAAGGCAGACACGTAAAGTCCAGCCTTCAGTAAAGGCTCAACAACAGCATGTTTTCAGTTCCCTGGTACAACTCCAGAGACAATGCTCTGATTAATGACAAGAACCCAAGGACCAACTGAAGAAAAAAACCTCTTAAAATGTGAAATTAAAGAATGAGATAGACTCATTCTATGCTAAGCCAACCCAACATTCAAAGTCTCAATTAGAATATTGTGAAAAGGTTCAATATTCTAGACTCAAAATGTCATTCAACTCTACTACAAAACACCTGCAAATGGTTCCTGCTTACTAATATATAAGGCATAATGTGAAAACTGATCTGCAGTGAAAATTATAAAATTTCAGCATGAAAATAGCTGGCTATTTTCGTTGCCACGTTATAGCTATTTCGTGGCCACAATTTATTTATTTTTTGGACCATGTCATCAGAGGGGCTCCGTAGTAGATAGTATAGGGAATAATAAAAAAATAAGATAACCTCTAAATACGTTCAATAGAAGCTATTATTATTATTATTGATATGAGGGTCGATTTAAGCTCCTCCTAACAATAAAAATGGGGTGAGGAGTTTTAAGTCATTTTCCCACCATATTTATCTAACGGTAACCCGAAGAAATGGTAATTCCATGCATGAATGTTACAAGAATAATAGCAAAGAATTAAATTAAAAATTATTTGGAATAAAATCTAAACATAAAGTTACACATAAATGAGTTTAAATTTAAGATAAGACAAAGGATCTTCTGGTTTACTGAACACACATTACTGATTATCATAAATGATTATATTGTTACCCAAAGCATAATAAGTTATTTCAGTAATTAAAATACATTTATACTGAACCAAGAGATTATTTATGATGATTGTAATAAACAGTAATAAAGTCAAGAGTTTATTAAAATTATTATTTAAAATTATTATTGTAAAATCTTGAAGTGTCCTTCATCTTGGGATGGAACAGCAGCAGATAAAGATGTTGTTTCAGCAGACATCACGGCTCCTGGTAGGGTAATCTGTGGAGCAAAGTTACAGTTCGACACAGCTGGGAAAATGTGACCTTTGTCACAAATTAGAGGCCATTCATGACGCTACATTTG